CAGGAATGCAGGCCGTACTGTCGAGCGACTTTTCTATCGCACAGTTCCGGTTCTTAGAGCGCCTACTCCTAGTGCACGGCCGATGGTCTTACCTCCGAATGTGTAAATTTCTTCGCTATTTCTTCTACAAGAACTTCACGTTCACTCTCTGCCACCTGTGGTACGCCTTTTTCAGCGGCTTCTCCGCCCAGGTATCGCACGTTTTACTCATTTTCAAAGTGTACCTTAAATGTGTTATTTTACTAAAAATTAAAACATTATATGGATAGACATATAACAAAATGAGACTTTTTTGAAAAATAGCATAATACTTTTATTAAACTTTTATAATGAATAAGCACACTCATAATGAATACAGTAGATACTATTTTTCAAAAAGTCTCATTTTGTTATATGTCTATCATATTATATAATGTATTCTATTATAATGTTTTAATTTTTAATGAAATAACACTTTTATTGCATTTCTTGATTGATATTAATAACACTTCCATTGGCTAATCAAAACACACGCCAACGGTACAGACACTATACGATCCTATTTTCATATCGTGTTACAACGTATTCTACACGTCGCTACCGGTGCTAGCGATGGGCATTTTTGACCAGGACGTCGACGATCGCGTATCGCTACGTTACCCACTATTGTACACTCCGGGTCATGAGGGTCTATTATTCAACAAGCTAGAATTCCTCAAAAGTGTCGCTCACGGAATCGTATCATCGCTCATACTATTCTTCATACCTTACGGCACCTTCAGGAACGCGGTCTCAACCGACGGCGTCAATTTGGACGACCATCAGCTCTTTGGGACAGTCGTCTCGACGATGTTGGTGCTCGTCGTGACCGCTCAGGTATGTCACCTCCGTTTTTCCCTTTCAACAGTAGTTTACTTGAAAATTTGGACAAGTATTGCAATTGTAGCATTGTCAAATTTCCAAGTAAACTACTGTTGACTAAAAGGGGGTGACATACTTGAGCACGGTCATTTTGAACACAAACAGATAGCGTTGGACACAGCCTACTGGACAATATTCAACCACGTGGTCATCTGGGGAAGTGTCGCCTTTTACTTCGCCACCACTCTAGTCCTTAGCGATCTGTTTGAGATGTCATACTTGGGCGCCCTTCGTATGACTCTGAGCTCCGGTCAGTTTTGGTTCGCCCTATTCCTGGTGCTGACTATTCTGGTGGTACCAGTAGTGGCCACTCGTTTCTACCGCACGTCGACCCAACCGTCCCTTAGCGACAGGTGTCGCTACAAACAGCGTGTATCCCGACTGAGGGCCAGACCCGAGCGGTTGGTGAGGAGGGGTTCCGCGCGAACGAGTCGTCGCTCAGTCCGCTCGGGGTATGCCTTCGCACACCAGGAGGGCTTCGGGCGCCTCATAACGAGCGGTAAAATCATGAAACAACACAAATCCGAAGCGCCGACACCTATGCCTTAGCCATAGGTCTTAACGGACGGATATCTATACAAACACTTCGCTAATACAACCGACTTCTCTGAATACTAGCCCCTCCTCTATAGGTATATAAGAAATTAAAGCAATAATTGTTATGTAGTTATAGAGTCTATAACTACATAACAATTATTGCATTAATTTCTTAATTATAATATAGAGAATAAAATAATTCGTATAATGTTATAGAATTATAATATTTATTAAATAATTTTTATAATTTACTAAGTTCATATTTTAAAATTAAATATAATGTTTTTTAATAAATAGCCACTGAGTTTTATTTATTTTTATTAATAAACTTGTTGAAATACATTAAAACAATACAAAATATGATGGGTATAACGGATACACCTGCTAAGGCAAAAAAGCATGCCCCAGGTACCGTATTAATTGTACTACTGAATAGTGCCGCAAAAATTGGTGCTGATACTATCGGGGCTATACTCTCGGCAATTGACATTAAAATAAATATTTTGCCCAGCTCACTTTGATCGAGAATTTTTGATAAATGTGTCCTGAACCCAATTAAATCAACACATTGTAAACTTGTTAACGCTATCGATATATAAAACCCTGTTGGACTTAATATGCTCCCCAATATGACATATTTTGCCAGCATCATGCCAAATCCTGATAATGATATACCAATGTCACTTAATTTGACAACCTGTAAATTTTAAATTTTTAATTAGAAAATTGTTTTTACAAATTATCACAGTGTTAATATTATTTCAATTGCAAAACTGTTTAAGGTGATTTATAAAGTCATTAGTAAATTATTATAAGCTATGTTACAGATTTGATATTTATAAATTACCTAATCTTAATTGCTAAATTACTATTATTTAAAAATTAATCATTGGTTATTCCAAAAATAAATTGTATATTATTTATATTACCTTGGCAAATACAGATGTGAATAATATTAGGCAACCAGAATTAATTAGCAATGACATAGAGTCGTATGGTGAATATATGGCCAAGTCCCATTTGTAAACTTTTTCAGCAAATTGAAATATGATCATGGACGATGTAGCGCGCACGAACCTTGCGCA